AACCATGAAATATAGTCTACTTTAAAATAGTCATTTATTGGGAGCCTAGGTGGCTTAGTCAGTTGTGTCTGACTTGGCCTCAGGTCACGATCTCACGGTCTGTGGGTTCAAGGCCTGTGTTGGGCTCTGTGTTGACAGCTCAGAGCCTAGAGTCTGCCTTGGATTCTGTGTGTGTCTCTCTCTACACCTCCTCTTCTCATGCTCTTTCTCTCTCTGTCTCAAAAATAAATAAACATTAAAAATTTTTTTTAAAAATAGTCATTTACTTTTCACACATGATACCCTTCATATTTCCAATATATTGCTATTAAAACATTTAATTGTAAAGCCCCAACTAGATTAAATTCAGAAAATACATGGGGAGGTCAAGAGTTTTCTCCTCTCAAAATTATTTTGAATATTAATAAGTACCAGTACATTAGCAACAATTATCATTTTTGGCACCAGGAAGATGAGAGACTAATAATTTTCTAAAAGACCAAGAATACCTTCTTTTTGACTGGTGCTAAAAAGAAATACTCTAGAAGTTGTTTTTGCTGAATAAGTAACACGAATTAATACCATGATCTAACCTTTAAAGGAATAATTCCCAGCAGATATAGAGAGACCAGACTCCTGTCTACATTTTAATTAGAAGGCAGTCTTCTTTTCCCTTCAGGTAGGATTCTCCATCTATAATCCAAAATATCTTTTAAAAAATTAAAAGGTGAATTTGTATGTTATCACTTATTAGTGAATAATTCGAAGACCTATAATTCCATTTCTTTCCTTCCTCCCCCCCCCCTACTTTTTTACTGTGAGATTTGGTTGCATCTTGAGTTAGACATATGACTGAGGCAAAAACGAACAGCAGAGGGAATAAGAAATGTGAGCCAAGTGGCTTTGGAAAACTCCATTGAAAGAGAATCTAAGGATACCAACTAGTCATAAAAACATAGGGTGCGGATGTTACTTGAACTTAGAATTTGACCAAATTATGTGAAGTTATCTGAAAATAGAAATACACATGAAAAGTGTGATCTTGGGAAAGCGTTTAAAAGCTTTTTGTGAGTTCTTTTGTTCCAATGCAAGAGTTAATATATAAGCTTTTGGCTCCCAGTGAAACAGAATGGGAAAAATAACTAGCTGTATATTGGAGTTTCTTTTGGTGGCTTGAAGTCAGCCATGGTATTTATACCATGGAAATCTGCAAATGCTACAAATCAGTGCTTTTTTTTTTTTCTTTCCATTTACTTTGGGAGAGGATTTATTAGCACACCACTGAAAATAACCCTGCATAGGGATTAATGAAACTCCTAGTACCTGTGAAAAAGGTATTCCTGCATGGCTTTGGGGAGGGGAATTTTGGGGAATAAATGAGTATTTTTTTCTCTAAGCAGGGGACTTCTAATACCCATGTTGGTAAGATTTGGTGTTTTATTATTTCTCTTGGAATTAAAATTTCATCAAATTCTTATGAAAAAGGATTTCTCTAAAATACAACCTTTCTTTTACTTCGATTCATTAAAATATCAAAGAAGATAAAATATATGTGTGGCAGGGAAACTTCCTGCTTTCTAGTAAGAAGTAAGCAGAAGTAGTACCACCTGATAAGCTGCATAGAGTCATTGGAATGGAGTCAAAGCCATAGAGAAACCAGACATACTTTTTTTTTTTTTTTTTGTGAATGACAGTGTTAAAGAATGTAACCCCTCTTAACTTCTCTACACCCCTACATACAAATTGCTTATCCTGATACAACCCTCAATGGTAACTCACTTTACACCTCTATTTTTTTTTTCTTGTTATCACTAAGATTAAACAGCATGTTTGGGCAATATTCTGCATTCATCTAACCTTTTCCGTACAGGCCACACTGATACAGCAGAACAGGTTTATGTACTTCACACGTCAGATCCTATCAAGAAAGTTGGTAGTGACAGTTTGATAAGGACACCATAGCTTATTGAACTTGTTCTAAAAACAACAGCAGCAAACCACTCATCTCACACGTTTTAGTGACCTTGTTCTGTGGTGTCTCCATTTTTAAATGCAGCAGATGTATTACTGACTGTGTGGCTTTAGCGCATGAAGAGAGCGGAGGCATGTGACAGTGTATGTTTTGATATTACTCTGTTAAAAATTCTAGAGAGATCTGCATTTACTTCAATTACATAATGATAAAGGAGAAGTCTAGGGTTAGTTTTAACTTTGACCTTGCCAACAGCTTTAACCAGAGTGAAAAAAATGACTGGGCAGAAAATAAGAAAAAAACTGCCAGGACCTTTTGCTCTCCAGGAAGTCCAGGATTGTTATGGACAATGAACAAGAATTGTTAACAGACTTCACTGTTTCAGGGTAATATCTCTAGGGCAGGACACATAAAAGTCAACCCAAATAAATGTAAATTAGAATGAACTATAAAGGCTAATTTTTTTACATATTTTTATTTTTTTGTCTTTTGAATTTTTATTTTTTTGGCCCAAACCCATTCCTATGACATTTCCAAAAACTTTACTATAAGCACATTAAATGCCATATTTAATAGATTATTTAAAAATCTATTTAGGGGCGCCTGGGTGGCTTAGTCGGTTGAGCGTCCGACTTTCGCTTAGGTCATGATCTCGCGGTTCGTGGATTTGAGCCCCGCGTGGGTCTCTGTGCTGACTGCCTCCTCAGAACCTGGAGCCTGTTTCAGTCTGACTCCCTCTCTCTCTGACCCTCCCCTGCCCATGCTGTCTCTCTCTCTCTCCTAGAAATAAATAAAAATATTAAAAAAATCTATTTAATAGATTATTTAAATTCTTAATCTTTAAAAAATTGTTATTGTTATTCAGTTAAGTTCAAAGGGACTTTTATTCTCATGGTGAACTTTTCTGATGGGATTCTAGCTAGTATCTGAAATTTCAGGTGTTTCTGCTCCTTGTGGTTAAAGCAGGATTAGGAGCATTCAACCAACTGTGGGTTTAATTTTGTCACTCTGTTATGTCTTTAAACATACAAATGTCATTCTTCTGGCTTGTGCCATGGAGCTCTGTGGTCCCTACTATTGTTGGGGTATAGTACACTGGTAAAGATGGAGATGTTCAGGGAGAAACAGGAGAGAAACCTATAGGATTCTTTGATATAAACAAATACAGTGCTAATGCATTTCATACTAACCAACAGAAAGTTTATGAATATCTGTAAAACAACTGATGTTATAACTTTGTGGTGAGGGGAAGATAGGGCACTCTTCCAAACACTGGCTTACATTTTGATGGGTTTGTGTCTGATCACTCTGCTTTTGAGTGGCTTGACAGTGTTCCAGAACTCCCATATATTCCTCTCCACCTCTTTGAAACATTCTCCTACTTCTGAGGCAAAAAAGAAAGTGTTCTTGTTAGTATTGGGAGCCCCTTATGTCTTCTCACCTCAGGTTCTATATAGGATGATAAAGGAAAAAACATGAAATATTTCAGACATACTAGAATGTAGAGAGAGAATATAATAGGATTGAGTATCCACAATCTCCTTAAGAAATGAAACATTCCAGATGAAGCCCCCTATATATTCCTTCTGCCTCCTCAGAGGTTACCACTACTTTCATACATGTTTTTATACTTTTGCCACATGTGTACATCCGTAAATAGAATAGATTGCTGTTTTGCATGTTCACATTTTTATATAGATTTTTTCCACGTTATTATTTATGAATGTATATTTATTTGAAAGAGAGAGATAGTACAAGCAGGGGAGGGGTGGAGAGAGAGGATCCCAAGCTAACAGCAGAGAGCTGGATGGAGTGCTCAATCTCACGAATTGTGAGATCATGACTTGAGCCAAAACCAAGAGTCAGATGCTTAACTGTTATTATTATTTTTTAAATAAAGATGTCATACCCACATCCTATCTAAACATTTTTTTTACTGTTTATTTATTTTTGAAAGAGACAGACAGAGCACTAGTGGAGGAGGAACAGAAAGAGATGGAGACAAAGACTCCAAAGCAGGCTCCAGGCTCTGAGCTGTCAGCACAGAGCCCAATGTAGGGCTCATACCCATGGACTGTGAGATCATGATCTGAGCTGAAGTCAGTCGCCTAAGCAACTGAGCCATTCAGGCACCCCTCCCACACATTATTTTTAAGATAAGCTAACACATATAACTCTTGTTTATTGATCTCTATCATTACAAAGTAGTCTATAGTATGGATATATAGCTTAGTTGTCTATTCTTTGGTTGATGCTTTAGTATATATTTAGTACAGATTTCCTTGAGCAATGTTGTGAAAATTTCTTTAGGGGAAAGACCTAGATTAAAATTTTTGGATAACTGGATATGCCTATCTTTAACTTCACTAGATACTGCCATGCTCCAAAGATTGAGTCATCAGCAGTGAAGCCAGCAATCTGTGTAACAGATTTAACCTCTGGGTTAAAATTTTCAGATTGAATAATCTGGAAGGTGTGGTGGTGGTGGTGGGGAATATGGCAAGAGTTTCCATTTCTAACATGTCCCCAAGTGATGCTCTTGCCGCTGCAGTGTAGTGTATGGGACTACATGTTGAGAACAAGTGCTCTAGGGAAAGTCTATTGGATTACATTTGGGAAGAGAGAGCTGGTGAGGTTTAATTAGGTAACTGAAAGTTTGCCTGAGGTATCATTTGAGGATTCAGATTCTAGAAAAACTGAATCAATGTAGATAATTTACAGTAAACCAGTGTGAGTGTTTGGCATCAAGAGCTAAACTCTTGATAGTTCTTTTGCTAGAATGTCACCTCTGCGTGTACTCCTGCTGTTGCTGTGCTCACAAGGGCAGAGGAGTGGGCAGGAGGCCCGTGTTGGGCCAGGGTGTGCAGCAAGCTTGGCCGACCTACTTAGTGTATTGGAGTCTTGATGACATTTGTAAAACCCAGGCGTTGGCTTAGATGCAGGTGACACTGTTCCCTTGGAGATTCCTCAAGTTTTAAGGCATGAAGCTACTGAGTCTTACTGATTTGGCTGTTTTTAGATACTTATATCTAAAGGAACAACAACAAAATCAATTTATATAATGTTTCTTTATTATTATTATATTCCAAATTTAGTACTGTGGTAACAGAATGTCAGGGAGGTTTCCCTTAAATATTCTTTCTGGCGAGAAACTTCTTATAAAAAGTCTTGAAAACAAAGGCTTCACATATTTTAGAATAAAAAGACATAAACAGGTGACACAGTCTACAAATGGTTAACACATGTAAACTGGCAGGAAAGTTCTTTTTCAGATTTAGCAATAGAAAAGGTCAATTAGGGAAAAACCATGAACCAAAAGCATTTGCCTACATCATTCCACAATTTACATATAACAAGATAGTTTTTTTTCAAAACCAGACAACAGGTTCAAAAATAATTCTTTTCACACCCTTAAGTGATGCTGTTGGGAACAATGGCTGTTAGAAGGCCATTTATCGCAGGCACATTTCTAGCTAGTTATGACTGTAACTTTATCTTCTTTCTTTTTTCTCTCTCATCAGCTTTTTGCTTTCTTCTCGTCTTCTCTTAGTCACTGGATTCCGAGGATCATAGATTTCAAATGTGTCTGAGTCTTGCATGCTTGCATCTTTCACTTTTCTGCTTTTATCCTCAAACTGAAGTACATGTGACATCCTGAAGAGGGAGAGAGATGGTTCAGTGATTTTGGCAGGAGAATGGAAAGTGGAAATTTTATACTATACTGTCTGTGGCATAATGAACCATAAGAGTACAGAACATCAACATGGTTTCTTGTTTGTTGGTGCTTATACCGCATGGAAACCAACTTATCAGAAAACACTTAAACTTGAAAAACATGTCTGGAGTTTTGTCCTGTTGGTTTGTATTTTTAGTAATGAGTCTCTCTGCCTCAGTCTCCACTCGTAGGTCGTTCATGGATGAGAGGTCAAAAGAGTTCTACCCAGAGTATTCCTTCAACTAAACTCAGAGAACATCCTCCCAGCTTCCGCTAAAGAGCACCCTCACTTAGCCACAGTGGGCAGGTTGCAGAGCAAAACCAGCCCTATCTGATCTTCTTGTTTTCAGTAGTTAAAGGGACTAAGAGTCAGCAATATATTAAGAAAATTCTTGTTCAAATGAAGTTATGATTCCTTTTTCTGGGGAGTTGCAGGGTTAAAAATTTATTTTTTTCATGCAAAAGGAATCTAAGCTTTGGCATAGCTCCATGGACTAATTTCCTCCTCTTACTGTTGATTACAACAAACTTAACCATTCTGCTTTACCACTTTATCAAATGCTTACTGGTCTTAAGGTATCAACATGTGCTTGAATCGTAAGTGGTCATAAGCTGGCTGTCCTTAGCAGCTGGGAAGTATGCAAGTGATTAGCTCTGCCCCCATTAGGAGGTGTCAGAAATAAATAGGAAAATCAAAGATCAGATTTAAGGACAGCTGAATGAATTTGGAAACAGAGAAGTTCAGTTTTGATACATAAACAAAACTGCTAAGGCTCTTCCCACTTACTATATAAGCAATTATAAAGTGGACATACTCAGCACTTTTATCACAGCTGATAGGGCTAAATTGCCTATAGGATTAACACTCCCCGTACACCCATTGTAACTTTCAGATGAAACCTAAATATTACATAAATTTCCTTTTCCCTAAATAAGCAGAGATTTGGGCAGTAGGTACTGGCACAGATCCCCTACCCCTTTTCCCTGCAATAGCACAAATGCTGAGTGAAGTTTACTTATGTGACAAACTCTCATGGATATATTAAGATTTTGAAGGAAACAAAATGTTACAAGATTTGTGATACTGCAGTTACCGAGGGTTCAGTAGCTACTGTTCTGAGGGCTGACAAATTGAGTCTTAACTACCATTTCCAACCCTTCCACGTGAGAGAAGCTACTGGAATGCAATTAGTACAAGTGATATTATGTAGATGACCCAGAATCTACTTTAATTTAGTAAATGAGGTAAACCATGTTCATATTTCTATACCTCATTATTAACAGTTATTTACATCAAATTTCATAACTAATTTCAGTACATGAACATGCCATCCCACTCATTGGAACTGCTGACTTACACTTCTCTTGTTTTAGTCAACACCCTTATTTCGAAAAGGTGTCATATAAGTCTTGCCATTTGTGTCATGGGTGGACCTCGAGGGTATTATGCTAACTGAAATAAGTCGGACAAAAACAAATACCATGTAATTTCAGTTAGATGTAGAATCAAAAAACAAACCAAATCAAAAACAAGCAAAATCAGACCTATAAATGCAGGGAACAAACTTATGGCTGCCAGAGGGGAGGAGGGTAGGAGGAAGGGCAAAATGGCTGTATGGATGTGGGATGTGTAAGCTTCCAGTTATGGAATAAATAAGTCACTAGGATAAAAGGTACAGCATAGGGAATATAGTCAATGGTATTGTAATATTGTTGCATGGTGACAGATGTAGCTACACTTCTGGTGAGCATAGCATAATGTATACAGAAGTTTTATCACTATATTGTATACCTAAAACCAATGTAACATTGTATGGCAACTATATCCACTCCTGCCCCCCAAAAAAACACAAAAAAAGAAAGCCCAACCAATCAACCAAGCAACCAAACAAACAAAGAAAAAAAATCAGCAAGTATATTTATCTCTTTACCATAGCAATTACAGTGGAAAAATCATGCTGATAAATTTCAAGAGTGGGGACAATGAAGCCCATGCTTCCTGTTTCCAATTTAAATTGTTTCTATCTTCATTTAAAATGAGTAGGTATATTTAATAGAAAAAATGGAAAAAAGAGCTCTGAATTAAGCTTTATGGTAACAAAATAAATAGCACCAATTTTATCATGGATAATCATAAAATTGAGAATTTGTAGATTCTTTGTGGAGGAGGAAAATAGGGTATTCATAGTTATAGATTACAACTTTTCAATTGGAGATAACTAATAAAATTCCAGATGCTACAAATATGAAAAAAAAAAAAAAAAAGGAAATGCATCACAGGATCATTGTTTATTTAAATGGATTCCTCAGAGTCTGATTTTCTTGTGCTTTCAATTTCCTACAGTATTTCCTACAGTATTCCTGAAAATAAAACAATCTCAACTCCTAGAAAAAGGCTGATTGTTCTACCTCCATGGTAACAAGGGACTACTGGACCCAGTTTGAAACACAAACTGGGTTTAATCAATTAATGATTTGCATAGGCCTAAATGACCAGTGACAACTCAGTTCAGTAAACACACCTCTGAAAGCCAACTTATCAGTGACAGCCTTATGATTTTGAAGGTTGGCCAATCAGGGGTCGACTCAAGCTAGTAAACACATTTCTGAGGGCCAGCCAATCATGACAGTCTCTCCTGAGTAATGGGGCTTCTGAGGCTGATGTCAACCACTAAATAATCCCTGACCCCAAAACTCTATATAAGATTTGCAACCCGTTTAGCTCAGAGACTGTGCCGAAAAGCATAGCTGTTCACTTAGGTAATAAGTTAAACCTTTTGTTTCAGGTAGTGAGAGGTGGCCTTTTTCTTAGACACTTCTTACAATCTGTGCTGCATTCCCCAAAGTGTACTTGTTAGGAATTGTAAGTGTACTTCCACTGATAAGGAACAAGTTTAGAAAGGTGGCAGGATGTTCTTTTGAAGGACCTTTACCACACATCATGGGGAGCCCAGATCCTGCACTGCATTTCAGTAAGTGCTTAATAAGTGATTCCTGTGTAGATACCTAAGCCCAAACCAGGAAGTAGCTCAAAACATGCCCTTTAAAATAATTTTCTTCAACACTCCCACATTGACAGTGAAAAACAAAAACCACTGTCTTTAGTTAACTTCTTAATATCTTTCTATATACGTATTTTTCTATTTTTACAATTATTGGTCTCTCTGCCCAAAAACACAGATGGATATTTTTGTGATACCCATTTCTATTAGAGACTGTCCACCTTTCAAAAATGGCTTTACCAGAACTTGTCAATTAAAACCTTATAGGCACCTTCCTTCTTTCTGTCCCATGAGAGTGTCTTGCAACTATTGGATTTAGTTGGCTCTGGTATAAGAAATGAACTCTAGACATGTGAACAACAGCACAAAATCCAGAAAGAGGAACAGATTTTCCTACAAATTTGAAAAAAACAGAAAGCCGTAAATTAAAGTAGCTGTCTTTTTCAACTGTTTGTTTCATACACCACTGCACTAAACAAGTCCAACATTTTGATTAATAACAAACCTAAACCCAGAGGAAAGAAAGGGCTATCAGCTTACAAACTACTTCAGCTTTAATATCATGATACTTAGCATGGCTGGTTACTCAGCAATAATATTTAATCTTTAATAGAAATAAAAGCATAATCAAAATGGTTCACCCATTTATCTTTCAACATGCTTTGGTCACTTCATTTTAAAAAGCAAAACAAAACAGTTATTATGATTTTCAGCATAATAAACCCCTGACCTATGTGCCTCCATAAATCACAGACTGCAGGAATTGAAAGCATGCCCACATTTTACAGTCTCCTGTGAGAATACACATGCAGACTTACAATATAGACTTAAGTACATACAGGTCTGGTCATTTACAATGCTGTATGTCCCAATAACTCTGTACTGTTTACTCTGTGGCTGGTCACGGAACTGGCCAAATAAGAGGAGTGAATTTTTTGGAATGAATTGCATGCAGATCATTTATTTGCATATGAACATTTAAAAACTTGATCACTTGAAGGCAAAGACACAAAATTTAGTTTTGATTAATAAGATTTACATAAGCTCAGATTCTCAAATAAGAACCTGACTTGGGGTGCCTGAGTGGCTCAGTTTGTTAAGCGTCTGACTCTTGATTTTGGCTCAGATCATAATCTAACGGGTTATGCAGTTGAGCCCCATGTTGGGCTCTTTGCTGAGACCATGGAGCCTTCTTGAGATTCTCTCCTTCCTTCTCTCTTCAGGTCCCCTGCTTGTACTCTTTCTCAAAATAAATAAACTTAAAAAAAACAACATTGACTTTAGTGTGTTATAGGAATATGGAGGCTTACCATTTTCAGAAGTTGTTTGACAGAATAAATTTTTTATGGGATTGTATGAAATTATAAACAAAAGCAAACAACTGATTGTTTGAAAAAGACCTGGACTGTTAATAATCTCACTAATTTGACATCCAGTTTTTAAAGTTCTTCCACAGTTATGAAACAGATTAAAATATATGACAGCAATTAATATTAATATTAATGGAGAACACAAGAGAGGTACTTACTCTCAAACATATAGTAAGTGCAATATAGAATTCCAATACTAATTTGTTTCTGACAAAAATGCATTTAGATTATTTATGCTTACATAATGTAAGCTATTACCTTTTTCATTGGAAATTCTATAAACCACTCTTCCCATTTCCAAGTCTCATCAATTTAGGAATTTACCACCTAACCTTTCGACTTTTGTAGGTTTTCTAACTGTTCTACATTTGTATTATGTCTCCTTCATCCTCCAAAAGTTCTAAAATAGTCTTTCTTTAAAAAAAATTTTTTTTTTTAAATTAAGTAGGCTCCACACCCAACGTGGGGCTTGAATTCATGATCTCAAGATCAAGAGTCACATGTTGTACCAATTGAGCCAGTCCATTGCCCTAAAATAAACAACCAATCTTCCTTCCTTCCTTCCTT